AATAAGTTAATTAATTAGAACTCTAACTCAATAAAAAAACAATACATCTAGACTAGATTTAGTAAATTATACAATCTAAGCTACTTTTAGTTTGAAGGTCCAACTATAGCTGTCTCCTAGTAAATTTAAATGAGATCCAGTTATAGTCTGGTAAGATCTACTCTGTTGGCCAATAAATATAGATATATTAGATAATTTATTTGAAACAGAGATAACTTTTAACATAATTACAACAAAATTTGATTTATAATTGAATCACCAAGGAAATGTAACCCTAATGTATACACAATACTGAATATTCTTAGGCTTGATATATACAAATTAAATTTAGGGATAGACTTGTAGGGTCATCAGAATAGACCTAAAGAAACAATTTTGTCCTTTCTAGTAGAAGTCTAATATTTCTATTCTTGTCACTTCTCTCAACATTTCTCAACTAAATTTATTTTCAATCACTCCATTGTTCCACTGCTCTTGAGTGCCCAATCTCATCTCTTTTAAAAACCAAATGTAGTTATGACTTAAATTTTAACTAGATCTGTTGTGACCTGAACTAGTTAGTTTGTATCTCTATGATGACGATGTATAAGAGTGAACAATTTCTACTAATATACTATGCATATAAAATATAAATGAAATGGTAAAACTTACATTTATATAAGTAATAGCAATTTAAATAAAAGCTGAGTATTTATAGGTTTTATTTTGTATTGAAAATAGATAAATAGATATATATTCTTTTTATCATTGCCTTTGCAGTCAAAATGGGTCTCCATTGATTGCATCCATGGTTATAATTTTATGCAATGGAAAATGATGGGTTAAGAGGTAGTTAAAAAAAATGAATTTTTGCCAGTTTAATTTTTTATAAATGTATCATTAATTGTTTACATATTGTACTAACTAAAAGTGTCATTAACATTTATTTTAGGTTTTGGAACCTGTAGATCGTCTTGGAATGCCTCAGTCTGGGGGAATGAAAGCCATCAAAGAACATCCGTTTTATGCAGAAATAGATTGGGAAAACTTACCACAATTGACGCCTCCAAAATTAATGCCCTACCTGCCTGCTACAGCTAGTAATCCTGAGTTTTGGGGCCAGGAACTTAGGGTGGGATTTTTACAAGACAATTGCTTCTAAGATTTGACAGCACTGTCAGATTTTAAAAAAAATTATTTTCAGCTTTCAACATTAAGAAACAAAAAATAATATGAGCTGATTATGTCAATCATTATTCTTATGTATTATTAAAACAACATTTTTATTTGCCCAAAAGTATCAATGCAATTTATCTCATTTGAATTTCATATTAATTTGATAGTAATGTTTCAGTATTTTCCATCTTATTACATTCTTATTTGAATTTCGCCTATATTTAAAGAACAAATTTTACAATTTACAAAGTAACTGTAATATTTAATTGTACTTGATTTGGTTTCATTTTGTCATGTGATAATTTTTGCTCTTTAGGAAGTGTTTGTGTTCATTTTTTTAAATGAATTTTAAATATCTGTATCTATTTGTTTGGTTACTATGAAGTTTGTTATTTGATTTCCAGGCTGGATTTGATGACCAGAGATTAGCAGAAATAATCACAGGACAATCTGTGGATGGTTCAATGTTAGTTTTTTACAAATTTTACAAAATAGAACGTCTTTGGTACAATTGTTTAATCAAATGATTGTTATTTGAATAGTATTAGCATGTAAAAAAAAATATTGATTTTTAATGAATTAGCCTTTTTTTTGGTCATCAGGTCTCCGGAACTAGAGGAACTTCCTGTCAAAGTTCTCAGTGCTGACGAGGATAAGGAAAGAAAAGACAAATTGAGAAAACAGAGGGAAGAAAATCAATTCCATCAATTTGTTGAAGACAATCTCATTATTAAACAAGGATTTGTGGATAAAAGAAAGGTTCAGACAAATATATTATTATATAAGAAAACTATGTTCTAAAATAATTTCAATACCAGAACCCTAACCTTTGACCTTTTTTTATCATTGGCCAGATCAATTTTTCTATGAACTAGGATGGACTGATGCACCGGTAGTCAGCACACTTAGCAACTAATTTTCTTTTTCCAATTAATTTTCATTGACACATTAAGAATGACAAAATTTTACCTGATTCCCACTCACACTGATTAAAATAATATCTCATTTCACCAATGTATTGGTACATTTATCTTGACTTGAGAAAAATGTCTTTGCTTTACTTATTCTTTCACTTTATAAATGTTTCAGCTAATTTCAAATTGTTTGCTTTGTTTGAAAAATAATGAATAGAGTTGTTGATTTTGTTTTTATCTAGGGATTGTTTGCCAGAAAAAGAATGTTATTATTAACAGAAGGACCTCATTTGTACTATGTGGACGCCCACAATAAAGTTCTTAAAGGAGAAATACCTTGGTAAGAAATGCATAAAAATGAAATCAGTTCAGTCTTTCCAAATAACAGCAGATAAGGTTGATTTAACTAAGGTTCTCTGTAATGGATTTATAATATATGTATAAATTTACTTTTTGAGTAAGCAAAGTAATAGAATAATTAAGATCTCTTGGGATGTATTTAAAATCACTTGCTTGCATGTACACCCTAAGCCACACCAGTGACCAGCCAGCATTTGGCTCCTAACAGATTATAGTAGGCTAAGCATACCCTGGCCAAATTAACAATTCTTTTGTAAAATAATTTATAACTCCATCACCAGGTCAAGACATCTTCGACCAGAAGCCAAAAATTTCAGAATATTCTTTGTCCATACAGTAAGTAGTTTCAAAAATATTTCTTAGTGTTGGTTGTTGCTTGGTGGTGTTTTAATTGGTGTTGGCTTTGTTTGACTTTCAGTTGAGTCACTTTTGGTTATTGTTTAACATTGGACTAGGCTAATGTTGACCTGAAATTTGTCTTAAATTTCATGTTTACACTGTGTCTTACTTTGTGGGTAGATATTATATTTCATTGTATCCAATTTTGGCTCTTTAATACAAATGAATAAAATTTGCTAAGTGAATAGTCCCAAGCTCTACCCTTTTTGTTTTCTCTCTTAAATATACTGATCACCTTTATAGCCTCTTTCAGTTGCAAAGTTACTATGGATCATGCATCTCAGTAGAATAGATGAAAGCCTGGGCATTAGCTTTGGTCAGAATAATGTTGCTCACACATCAGTCCCCCTCTCCATCACCACTGATATTCAGAAATGAAAGTATAGAGAATGTTGCTTTGAACAAAAGCTTAAAAACTTGGTCAATCAAGCTGGCAATCGTGTATTTACATATCTTTAATTTGACAACATTTGTCAAGACTTTCATTTAAGTTGACGTTTGAATAGCTCTACTTAATCAATAATAACTTTTTTTGTGTGTGTTTTAACAGCCCAACCGGACATACTATCTTGAAAGTCGGACCTCTGATGCCCAGCAATGGGTTGAAAAAATCAAAGAAGTTTGGACCAAACATTATGGACAAGACAAGAAATAATAGCTGTTTTGGTCTCATCCTGAATGACAACATATCAAGCATTAAGGAAAGCTATTTGATTCAATTTTTAAAAGAAACATTATTGCTCAAAAATAATGGCAAACATATTTATATAGAGTATCAGATCAATAAGATTCTAGATTTAAGCTGTTCTTCACATGGAGCATTGTATATCGTGTGTACAAAGTTGAATATTATACCTTGGTAAATTGTGGTGGCACACATATTGATCATAATAAAATAATAAATACATTATATATTTTGTAAAATACATATAAAAGTATTCATAGTGTGTCAGTCCCCATTATGCAGGAAATAATAACACCTTTTGTTCAATAGTGAAATCCCCTTTTTTATAATTGAAGAAAAAAAAAGAAAACTTGAGGTATGCTTATCAGTATGAGAAAGTATTAAGAAACATGTATTCACTATTGCAATAATATGTCACAGACTTGTTCTATGCATTGGCCAAGTCATTGTTGTGGTAGATCACTTCCTAAAAAGAGCCTTGATCATTTTCTACTTCACTTTTCTCCGCTCGACAAGTCAGGCACTCCTTCATTCTGCTTAGTTAACTCACATTGATTCTGGATAAGTGCTTTGATTTTTATGACATTGTTTGATTGTATAAACTAACTAAAACAAGTCTCGCTGCCAACTAGAAGGTAATAAATGGCATTTGGAGGCATACACTTTGATTTCATAGGTCTCATTTTCCATAGTCCTTTTTTTTATTTTCCTTCCTTTATGTAACATTTTGCGATTTATCAACTGTGTCGTTTTATTATCTGTATTTGTTATCAATTGAAATTATTTTAGGCGCAAATGATAAGGAATTTTTTTATTCCTGGAGCATAATCCTTTAATTAAACACAAATTGTCTGCATGGCTGTAAGTTTTGTTACCCATTCTTGTGAGGACGAAGTTGAATTGTTCTATTCTACTGTTTAACCAGTTTACTGAGTTTATACTGGAGCTGTGGTTCACTTCGGATAGGTTGAGCTGGTTTCAGTCCTCCAAGTATTAGAGATAGGGTTTTGTTAGGAGAGATTTTATGGGAATAATTTTGTGGTAATAAAGTTGATAATGCAAAACATGTTTTAAATGACTGAAAAAAACTTTTACCTGATTCATAATAAATGAAATAGGAACAACTGAACATACACTTCTTGAGAGCAAGAATAGTTGCATTTATAAAGATATAGCACATAAAACAAGGAGTAAATATGGGCTTAAATATTTTTATTTTATTTTATAGCCCACACTGGTATCTACAAATGTTATAAGCCAAGAGTTCTTGTAGCAATACTAATGTTTCAGATTGTTTCCATAGCACTGAGGCTTAATAATTTCAAGCATTGTTTGGGGGCACACTTTCCTTTAGTCTACTCAGTTGAGCAGGTGGTTTATTTCTAATGCATATTACATTTTTTTTTTTTTTCTGACACATGATTCTTTTAAAGCTTACTTGATTGCATTGTTTGCCAATTTATTTCCATGTGAAAGCCAGTAATTATAAAAGTGATAACACTACTGTCAATGTGAGCTTAACACTATTGTCAATGTGAGCTATCTGTCAAGTCACAGTGAACATTGGAGTGGGTAGATAGACTTTTCTTTCAGGCACCAAAGAACATAGACTTTTCTTTCAATGGCAAGTATTTTCAAGCATTCATATTGTGCTCTACACAGTTGCTTTGTTGCTTAGTTTAAGTAGGTGAGTTTGTCATCAAATGATCAGCCTCTCCTGGTCTCTTTGAGAAGAGTGTTGTAAAGTTAATGTTGAAAACATAGTACCTAAGTATCCCAGACCAAAAGTTCAGCTATGAGTGTAAGCTGCTCTAAATTGGGTTTTCATTGCCCAACTATTAATATTAAAAAAAGGCAGCATCATTTTCGTTTTTGTTTCTCTCTGGGTGTCTCTCATTACTTGGACTAATGTAAGTTCAAAAGAAATCAGTTTTTAAAGTTCATTCTTTTAGATAACTTAAAATTTATCAGGCTAATCAAAACAAGAAAATGCAGTAGTTATTATAGTTTTTGTTAACATGTTGCAGGATAAATTTTTTTTTAGCATTTTACAATCATAACATCTTGTTTCATTTAGAATCTAAAAGCTTTGAAAGTTGACATTTGTGATATTTTTTTTTAGAATATCCTTTTTGACATGTCTTGAATTATTATTTGTATGTTATCTTGCTACTCAAAATAAATATTTCACTTGGTCAATGTCTTTAACATTTGTATCACTTGTCTATACAAACACTTCAACTTTCAGTAAGTATTACTATATTCAGTGATCCCTACATTTATCCCCTTTTATTGGTAAGAATAAGGTAATGGACTGAGGAATTACAAAGATGTTCCTCATGCTACTTAATTAACAGTTTTTCTATGGAAATAAATATAGATGATTTGTGGCTATTCCTGTATTATTGAACTAATTGTATAATCAGGCAGAGATTTAGTCATTACGGTATACAAGTTGTTAAGTTCTGTTTTAAACAAAATATTTCAAAATTTTTATGTCAAAAAGTTATTTTTACACAATTTATCCAGAAGAAGAAATTGATTTTCTTAAATTTTAATATTTTAGATCAAGTTAAACTCTCCTGATGTTCATCTGTGCCACCATTTGTTTAACATTCTGCAAAGGTGGTCAATATGTAATTTTCAATGGACAAATAATTTGTCACATCTGAATTATGATTAATTTAAATACTATTAGTAATGATTAACAAGATTACAAAGAAGTCGAAGTCGGATCTGCCTATTCGCAAAGTATATTCAAGAGGCTTTTTTAATTTTGATGGTCAAAAGTAATAATGTTTCAAAGATTCATTTGCCGTTGTAAAAAAATTTTTTGTTTTTTTTGTTTTACATGTTTCGGGTGTTCCTTCTAAGTTTAAAATAATTAACTTCTCGCTGGACGATGGAGGATGGCAATAAGCAGGGTATGAACCCTGCCTGGTCGTTCAGTCTGCGTGCTGGACTGTCATTCGGATTTATCGATGGTCCCTGGTTCAAATCCTGCATGCTCCCATCCTCCGTCGTCCTACGGGAGGTTTGGACTAGGAAGTAAACTATCTTCAACTCTGAAGGAACATCCGAAACATGTAAAACAAACAGACAACCCGGGACCGTAGAGATAATTAGTTCAGCACGCTAACAGCACGACCAGGCATTGCTCTTAACTTAATAATAAACTAATAGCCTATTATTGATAAAGAGATATATTACACATTATGGCATGACATCTATCAGATATGTACAATAGGCCAATGTCAGACGAGCGATTTTAGATAATCTTTCAGCATTGATTTGTAATTAACAAGATTACAAAGAGAGTTTGTGTGGCAACACAAACTCAGAGGCGGCCCCCCGTGGTAGACGGATCCCTGTCGGATCCGCATATTCGCTGGTCGACTGAGGATGGCATCGAGCAGGGTATGAAACCGAGACTGTAGAGATAATCGGTCCTGCATGCTAACCGCACGACCAGGCATTGCTCTTATTCTAATGACAAACTGGTTAAAAACTAATAGAATACTATTGATAATATACCTACACATTACGGAATGACAACTACAGGATATGTACAATATGTCCGAAGAGCGATTTTAGATAATCTTTTGGTATTGAGCATTTTCATTTAAATAAAACTAGAATGAGGATGTAGATCTACCTAAATTAATCCACTAATTTAGCACTCTCAATATCTATATCTACTAAATCTTGATATAAAATATATATAATGTAGATGTAATTTAGATAAGATTTATGTAAAAAAAACACACTCGATAATCAATTAATAGACTATTTGCAATATTAAATTTTAAAAAAGGTAGATTAGTTTTAGTATTTTATAACATTGCAATATTGACATATTAACAATCTAGACTTTGGAAATAAAAATCTACACTTTAAGTCAAATTAAAATTATAGTTCTTGATCTAGTCTAAATCATGGCTGTCTGGTAGTGCGGTTTGCGCGTTGGACACATTTGGATTCATCGATGGTCCCAGGTTCAAACCCTGAACATCTGAAACATGTAAATCAACAAACATTCTAAACTAGACCCAGAAATTCTAGATCTAGATTCTACAATGATTTTAATTAAAACAAATCTAAATCTAGTTTTAAAAATCTCTAGTGTAAAAAAAAATATCTAGATCTAGTGTAAAAAATCTAGATTAGATCTAAATCTAACTATTGTTCCGGATATTGTTTTATATATTATCAACAATAGGCTATTTGTAACCAGTTTGTCATTAGGTTAAGAGCAATGCCTGGTCGTGCGGTTAGCGCACAGGACTGATTATCTCTATGGTCTCAGTTTCATACCCTGCTCGATGCCATCCTCCGTCGACCAGCGGGAGATTTTACATTAAAAAAATTTTTTTTACGCCAAATGAATCTTTCAAACATTATTACTTTTAACAATCAAAACAAAATCACGTCTTGAATATTCCTTGCTAATATGCAATAGGACAGGGATCCGTCTCCCACGGGGGCCGCCTCGGACTTTGTGTGGCAACACGAACTCTCTTTGTAATCTTTTTTATTTTTCTTGTTTTAACCTCTATAATTCTGAAATCAACACAAAACACATGTTGCACATAAAGACACTTTAATGATGAAACAATTTCTTTCAATGAATAGTGTAAAATATATATATATACTATTTAATGACTAAAATTCAAGAAGAATAAATTCTGCCCAAATGCTCAGCCTATTTATTAGAGCTTCAATAACATTTTCCTATGTCTAATTGATTCAACATGAAGATCTCTGCTTGCCACACTCACAACAAATATTCCATAAATTGCTCTAAGTAGCCTAGGTGAGGCAGCACTATACGTTTTGGGAAAAGCATCTGAATTTGAGCAGCCAATATTAGTTGATCTGGTGCAAGGTGTAATATGACCGATGGTAGTTTTGAAAATAAAATCATGGGGTTTCAATGTGCACAATAAAGTCAAAAATATAGTTCAAATCATTTGCATAACAATATTAAAATTTATTTAAAATCTCACATCACATATACTATTCATATATTATAATAATTCACAAATAATTATTTAAGGTTAGACTTAGGGTAAAACATATTTTGAACCATATGCCCATTAAATTTCAAATTTCTTTTTTTCATTATCAGCAACGACTAAAATTGTACGATGTTTATTTATGTGCTAAATTATTTTTGAAAATTAAATTAAAAAATGGCACAGGAGTAGAATCTCAAATCTGAACAAAATCTAACAACCATTATACAAGTGTTACCAACTAATATGATGGCCTTGCAATTTTGCATATTTATGCAGAGTAGAGATTTTACCAGAGAGGAGGAATTGGAACATACCATTCACTTTTTTTCATTCATTCAAACATATTTACATCCATATTAAATTTATCTGCTAGAGTTCAAGACACAGAAAAAACAAAATATACAACCCAATCAATAGAAATATATAAATAACTCTGGAAACAAAAAAAAAAAGGAGGAAAAATAATTGCGTACAAAAATATAGCTTTAAAAATTGTACTGTACACTGATTTCTTATAAGACAACCTGAAGGATGAATCAAAGCAAAAAAAAAAACAGGCTAATTATTGCCTTCAAAGAAACATATATTAACTTTCATGTCATTGTCAGTAATAATCGATTGCATAATACAAAAATATCTCAACAGAAAGTAGTCAACACAAGATACCTTCATTACCTGCAGACTAAAGACAAACACAAGGATATTTACACAAGAGAAATGACATCTTTACCCTACTGAGAGTTAATAGTAGCCTACTTGTATTACAAAACTGAGACGTGGACATGACTAACTAAAGCACTTTAGTATTGGAGAAATACAGATTAAGAAGACGGTTACACACTTTAATATTGGAGAAATACAGATTAAGAAGACAGTTACACACTTTAGTATTGGAGAAATACAGATTAAGACGACAGTTACACACTTTAGTATTGGAGAAATACAGATTAAGAAGACGGTTACACACTTAAGTATTGGAGAAATATAGATTAAGAAGACGTAGTGCCATTATTTTTGTGTAACTCTAATAACATTTATAAGTTTTATTGCACAGACTTAAAAACAAGGGAAAAAAAAAAGAGGGACATTGAAAGGAAAAAAAACAACTATTTAAGGTGGGATAACTTTGATTTTGGCACAGACTAACAAGAACAAAAATAAAAATGATCTCACTGACACAAAATCATACTTTAGAGATATATAAAGGGATATATATATATATATATAAAGATGTGATATATATATAATTTTTTTTTAAAAGTTCATGAGGAAAACTGCAATAAATAACATTCTGTGGAGATGTATTGAGAAAACATAGACAAATATGAACCAATGAACAATGGAACTGAAGTATGTGGACATTAGTTGAAAGGTAACCAGAGCTTTTTGTTTGAACATTGTGAAACAATGATAATATATCCATCTAAGCCTAGACTCAAAAATGTGTTTCGTTGCATCCAAATAGTAACATTCTGGACAAGATGTATCCAATCCCAACAGTGCTCATTTCAACATCTAAAAGAGAATTCTAGAATAAATATCTTTGTAAAATGACATTGAGAATAAAAGTAGTTATTTGGAATTGGATAGAAAAACAAAAAAATTTCCATTTTTTTTTTTTATCACTGGTTACCTTTTATCCCCATTAGGTCAGATTCTTGATGAATGAAAGAACATAAGTGTAGAATCTAAAAAGGAATGGAACACACTTCACACAACTCAGAGTGACGGAACGCAAACAAATGCTTATATTATACTATCTGTTTTTGTCTTCTATCACACAATAGTTTGAGTCTTCAAACTAAAGAAGAAAAAAAAAAGTTTTATATTCTTTTAAAGATGGATATATAGAACTGAGATAGATTTAAGTCCTCACTAAAATCAATAGCAATACTTTCCCCAATAATTTTGTTTTTTCAACTTCCTTCATAAAATAGAAATATTTTGACAAATATGTCCATATTGATTATTTACTGAATCATGGAATATTATTTTGTAATTAGTATTAATTGTTAATTGATTTCTTCAATCATAAATGATCATTGATTATTTCTCACATAAACTTACTTGAATATTTTGTATTCCTCAACAAATACATATGGCCATGTCATAGCTTGATTGGAAAATGCCATACTATATTTAAGGCAATGATTTCTCAAAGTTAATTGTACACAAAACAAAAACTATGGCACAATGATAAAAAACTGTTCTTCTTAAAACGACAGCTTCATAAATGTATCAGATATTGCTATTAACCTAGGTATTAGTAATCTTTCTTATAAAAAAATTGTTTTAGCTGAGTAACAACTAGATCTAGCATATTGAATATTCTATGCATCAATTAAAACTTTTTTTTAATAGGTTGGTTTTGTTTTTGTTGCCAAAAAAAATGTTTTACCTATATCAATTCAGAATTTAATTTGAAACTGACAAAATATCAATAAGTGATTGCTACACAGATTTATTGTCAAAAAGAAAAAGGAGGGGAGGGTGAGAAAATGGTGCACAAGAGGTGAACATTTGGACATTGACAAAGAGCTTTTCAATCTTCATTGCAAGATGAATGCCTTCAAGGTGGGGTCTACAGGGAGAGTTTCTTCACCATTGGTAGATCAGATCCTGGTGCCTTTTAACTGTAATACCTACACACAAGAGAATATCTCTGTAAAATGTGGCATTTGATTGAAACCAAAACAAACAAAATCTCTCCATAATGTTAATTTTAATTGAATTCTAGCATAGTATTACCTTGGCTCTATCTGATGGCTCATCTGTGCCATTTAAAACAGTAGGGCACTCTTTGGAGACAATAAATAAGAACTCTGCATGATCTTCAGAGCCATAGTTGTAATGAGAGCCTATATTGAGTAGCTGTAAAACAAAAAGAGAAGTTGTGTAGTAAATACATAAAGCTTCCTAATGGCATAGTTAAATAAAGCTATTGCCTCAGCAGTGCATTTCACAACAGCAACACTCCATTGGCCATCATAATACATCAAATAAAGGTTAGTGTGATTGCAACATAAGACTTTCAAAACTAGGTTACAAATATGCTAGGAGAAACTGCTACAGACTCTTAGCTACTTTTTTATTTGTGTTTAAGTGCATGCTATCTTTTAATATCTCTTCAGTTTCAAATACTGAGGTCACTCTTCAGTTTCAAATACTGAGGTCACTCTTCAGTTTCAAATACTGAGGTCACTCTTCAGTTTCAAATACTGAGGTCACTCTTCAGTTTCAAATACTGAGGTCACTCTTCAGTTTCAAATACTGAGGTCACTCTTCAGTTTCAAATACTGAGGTCATGTTTTTTTTTTTTTTTTAGTAATGTTCATCATATTGCAGTCTGACTTGTACTCTATAGAATGCTGTCTTTTTAAAACACTGAAATCCAATTTACCTGCTCAAACTTCCACCCATCAGGTATAGTGGACACCATCTGAGTCAGCTCTTGACCTGAACACTGCATTACCCTGTAAACATTCTTCATGAATATCTAAAAGGAAAGAAAATTTAGTGACGTTAAATGTCTTAATAATTACAAAGTAGCAATAGCTTTTTTCTTTAAACAAATTGGGAAACAATATCTAGATCATCATGTATTTAAGTGTAACTCATTATATACATAATTGGGAAACAATACATATCTTTATCAACTAATTTATATCATCATGGAAATAGAAAAGAAAAAAAAATTAAAATAAATAAAGTGTACTAAATAAATTGGAAAAGAAATTTCAATGAAGAAGCTGGTAGAATTGGGTTGAATAACAAAAAAAGGCATAAAATGTACATCATACTTCCAAAGCACCAGGTCATCCACTGGCCCAGTTTTTAACTCACTTTGTTAGCCCATCTACTTCCAATTAAGACATTTTTACAGGGATGCCACGATGAGGAATCCCCCTGCTCTAAAGATCAACATACCTAACCAATCAAACTTCAATTACATTTGTGAAGGGAAACAAGAAGATAGATAACAAAGAATTAAGAAAAAGAACAACCTAAAAAATAAAGTGACTGGAAATAATTTGAAGAGAAAATGTGATAGGAAAAAGGAAGGACTAGTTCAAAAAAATATTACCTGATTCAATTTAGCATCTCTATCCGCGATTCTATCCTTCACAACCTTGATTAAATCTGTTATGTTATAAAACTCTGCTTCCTCCAAGACACCTGGACAGTAAATGATATTCTAAAACTAAATGTTCAGGCCTGATGATAATCATTGCTTAAAATAAGTAAGAAAATTCCATTTCACATCAACAAACTAGTCAGAAAAACTATTACGTTCAATTGTTTAATGTCACCTTCTTCTGCCAAGTCTCTATTCATCACAAGTTTGCCATGTCGAAGAAAATTTAAAACTGGTCCAAAATAAGAAGGATCTCTATCAATAAGGAAAGCCCCATCAGTATCCTGTTGAATCAATTCAAACTGATAAGATAACAAAACAAAAATTGTAAAGTGATTGACTTTATGTGACTGATTTAAAAATATGACTGAAAGTATTGAAATTGTTTGCTGTAAAAAGGGTTATGAGTCAATGCATGAGAAGTATCCCAATGTAGGAGTACTAGTGAATCAATAAAGGCAAATGGGCAACAGAAATAATAAGGAGGTGAAAGAAAGAGGTTGTTCACAGATTTCTGAACATAAAGAATTAAAATTTAGTTCATCCAAAAAAAAAATGAATATAAAATATTTTTTAATAATTGTTAGCAGCTCTCTAATGGGGAAAAACCACTATTAATTTCATGTGGTCCATCTATCACACATTCCGATCTCAAAAACAAAAAAAATTTATTGAAAATCCAAAGTTCTGGTGAAACATCTATTTTTTGTTTTCTACAGTAAAAGCCAACTGTTTTTTTTTAAATACACCACAAAACAAAACATAAATATAACAAAGAATTTTTTTCTGTACTATTAAGTAACATGTATCCATATACTGGTATATTTGTAAAATGTGGAGGAAAAAAAGAGTAAAATATAAATATTAATTAATTGTGTGTTTTTTGATACACTAGCTAATAAACTGAACAGGAAATATTTCATTTTGTTTATAAAGGCTAAGTGTGCACTTTATTTATTAATGTCAAGCTTTTTATGCAGCGCATTTTGTCGCCAGAAAGTCTTAAGTAATGTAATGACTGGCTTGCTGTATAAGTGTCTGACTTCGAGAAGTGTTTGAGTGTTTTGTACATGGGTACTAATGCAAGTTCAATGCAAAGACAAAAGCCATCACAAGAACAGATGAAGAACTAAGTCCAGACTGTTCAACTATTTGAACACCATTTAATACAAAACAGCCAGAGTCGAGTCTCTGTCAGCAATTGATGTTGTCGCCTTGAAGTCTCAATACCAGCTGAATAAAATGAAATATAAACAAACTATGCCCCACTATCTGTGTTGTGTTCTAAGTCCATCAACTATAGTGATTGCCTAACAATAATCAGATTTTTATTTTTTTTTAACTGCTTTTAGTTCTTTTGTAAGTTTTGTCCATCCATCTGTAACGTAGAGATTGCAACAACAAAAAAATATCTGATTTCAACTTAATTATGTAATATAAGTAAAAACAAGGTTACAATGACAGTTTGTGTGGAAACACAAACTCAAAATCAGCCCCCGAAGTGGTCTACCCAGTAAAGCTTCAATATTTTCAAAAAGAACATCCAAATGAAATTATATCAAAGACAAATGAGAGATAAGAATGGAGAAAGAAGGTTGACAGATCTTGTGTAGTGCCCCAACGGTCCAGCAGATCAAAGGATAGATGCAAGTGAATGCAAAGTTAGATGTGAACCTGACCTAACTA